CGTGTGTGTGTGTGTGCACTCACGTAATTGTGGTAGCAGGAATTGAGTCATAGCTCCTGGTCCCGCCTCTTTACTTGTCGCTATGAGGTCACTCTTTATGCTCCATGTGTTTTACCTTACCTCTTCTTAAAACTATGTATGGATCCTGCCTCCACTACATCACTTCCCAGACTATTCCACTTCCTGACAACTCTGTGAGTGAAGAAATACTTCCTAACATACCAGTGATTCATCTGAGTCTTCAGCTTCCAGCTGTGACCCCTTTTTGCTGTGTCCCATCTCTGGAACATCCTGTCTCTGTCCACCTTGTCGATTTCTCTCAGTTTTTTATATGTTGTTATCATATCCCCCATATCCCTCCAGTCCTCCAGTGTCGTCAGGTCGATTTCCCTTAACCTCTCCTCGTAGGACATGCCCCTTAGCTACGGGACTAGTCTTGTTGCAAACCTGTGCACTTTCTCTAGTTTTCTTAAATGCTTGGCCAGGTGTGGGTTCCAAACTGGTGCCGCATACTCCAATATGGGCCTAACGTACACGGTGTACAGGGTCCTGAACGATTCCTCATTAATTGTCGGAATGTTGTTCTTAAGTTTGCTATGCACCCATATGCTGCAGCAGTTATTTGGTTGATGTGTGCCTCAGGAGATGTGCCCGCTGTTATACTCATCTCAAGATCCTTTTCCTTGAGTGGGGTTTGTAGCCTCTGATCCCCTAGGCTGTACTACGCCTGCCTTCTTCTTTGCCCTTCCCAATCTTCATGACTTTGCACTTGATGGGGTTGAACTCCAGGAGCCAGCTTCTGGACCAGGTCTGCAGCCTGTCCAGACCTCTTTGTAATTCTGCCTGGTCATCGTCCAGTTGAATTCTTTGCATCAACTTACATCTGCAAACAGGGACACCGTTGAGTCTATTCCTTCCGTCATGTTGTTGCGTGGGGCTTCCAGGAGATAAAGGTGGAGTAGTAATACACACAGGTATGGATGTTAACACTTGTATGGGCAGAGTCGTGAGGGGAATGGCCCAGCCTACCTGTTCTTGCCTCTATGCCTAGCCGGGATCTGAGGAAGAGGCAGGGTGACCGACGCTCACATGCGGTACCACATGGCATTACACATGCTAGCCACTGGGCCTAGCTGAGCAGGGAGCCTAAATGTATATATGGATGATACGAACTATGAGAAACTTCACAAGCCTATACGTAGGGATTCAGTAGTGATACTGACAATGTCGTTCACAAATACCAGAATAGCATCGATCCTAGGACTGACCCCTGTGTAACCCCGCTCGTCACAGGCGCCTACTCTGACACCTCGCCACGTACCATGACTCGCTGTTGTTTTCCTGACAGGTAATCCCTGAGCCATTGTAGTCCCTTCCCTGTTATCCCTGTCTGGTCCTCCAGCTTTTGTAGTAATCTCCTGTGTGGGACTGTATCAAACACCTTCTTACAGTCCAAGAAATGCAATCTACCCACCCCTCTCTCTCTTGTCTTACTGCTGTCACCCTGTCATAGAACTCCAGTAGGTTTGTGACACAGGATTTCCCGTCTCTAAAACCGTGCTGGTTGTCGTTGATAAGCTCATTCCTGTCTAGGTGCTCCACCACTCTCCTGATAATCTTTTCCATGACCTTGCATACTATACATGTCAATGACACTGGTCTGTAGTTTAATGTTTCGTGTTTGTCTCCTTTTTTTAAGAATTGGGACTGCATTTGCTCTCTTCCTAACCTCAGGTAGTCGCCCTATTTCGATAGATGTGTTGAAGATAGATGTGTTGAAGTTGTCGTAGTAGTGAAGGTTATGTACATGTCCTCACAACCAAGATTCCATGATGTTGCAGTGTCTAACAAGTTGTACAAGAATGGTATACAATACCGACAACTAACCCGTCTCTTTGGGTAGGACCTAATTCCACTGGGGAATCCCGCCTACCAGTGACTATGCCCTCGTCTGCTACACGTCTCATTTCCACCTGGCGTTAGAATATAAGCGCCAGGCTTTTTGCCTCTGCTTCAGAATCTCCACGACTACGGTGCTCTTCACACCAACTCCAAGGTTGAGGGACTGATTACCTCATCTTCTGTATATAGTTCTAGTAGACTGTCTTCATGTTATGTCCTGGAATTTGTATTGATAAAACCACTGGGTGGCGAAATGTCTACAGAAAAGATACCCAGAAGTTTCACATGTGTCTTAATTTCATCTTGTAGGTATTGTATACCATTCTTGTACAAAAAGGAAAAAGGGGGAAAAAATCGGGTTAAGTCACGGGTGTTCTGAAGTTTGGAACATTTTACAATGTAATGGGAAGGGAAGGCATTTGGACTTACGTAGTGTAAAGTCATCATTTCTTTTAAAGGCAGTAGGCCTATCAGGTTAGTGATTTCTCAACTGGTGTGTATTTACTTTAGCCTTGACTGTCGGCCCGGGTCATGCAACACAGGCAAGATAAGAGGGGTAGCATAGATCTTGAACAGATCTTACAATCAATCTGGCATCTGTACCTGCACTGGTCCCCTTCCACTGGTAGCTAACTCACAATCAGCTACACACCATTCTAGCAGCCGTTTCCCAGTTATCACCTCACCAACGTTTCATGGTGGTTCTCTTCTGGCGACTCGACAACTTCACAAGTGTTGTGGTGGTCAGAGGATCCCAGTACCTCTGTTAGTCAGAATCCCCACTCATGTTGGGGTCACTGTCTACTCAGTGTCAACAGTCACGTCCACCTGTGAATCATCATAAACAACGGCTCAGTGTTCCAGACCACGATTCAGAGCTACGTGCCCAGATCAGCAAGGCGCCATTCTCCACTACGAACCTGGAGTTTATCGGGAGAGAGTTCCGGGGGTCAATGGCCTAAGACCAGGCCTCATGGTGGATCAGGGCCTGATCAACCAGGCTGTTACTGCTGGCTGCACGTAATCCAACGTACGAGCCATAGCCCGGCTGGTCAGGTACCGACTTTAGGCGCTTGTCCAGCACCTGCTTGAAGACAGCCAGGGGTCTATTGGTAATATCCCCTATGTATGCTGGGAGGCAGTTGAACAGTCTCGGGCCCCTGACACTTATTGTATTGTCTCTTAACGTCCTAGTGGCACCCCTGCTTACCATTGGGGGGATGTTGCATCGTCTGCCGAGTCTTTTGCTTTCGTTTTGAGTGATTTTCGTGTGCAAGTTCGGTGCTAGTCCCTCTAGGATTTTCCAGGTGTATATACTCATGTATCTCTCCCTCCTGCATTCCAGGGAGTACAGGTTCAGGAACTTCAAGCGCTCCCAGTAATTGAGGTGTTTTATCTCAGTTATGCGTGCCGTGAAGGTTCTCTGTACATTTTCTAGGTCAGCAATTTCACCTGCCTTGAAAGGTGCTGTTAGTGTGCAGCAATATTCCAGCCTAGATAGAACAAGTGACCTGAAGAGTGTCATCATGGGCTTGGTATCCCTAGTTTTGAAGGTTCTCATTATCCATCCTGTCATTTTTCTAGCAGATGCGATTGATACAATGAAGGTGAGATCCTCCGACATGATCACTCCCAGGTCGTTGACGTTAGTTTATCGCTCTATTGTGTGGCTGGAATTTGTTTTATACTCTGATGAAGTTTTAATTTCCTCATGTTTACCATATCGGAGTAATTGAAATTTCTCATCGTTGAACTTCATATTGTTTTCGGCAGCCCACTGAAAGATTTGATTGATGTCCGCCTGGTGCCTTGCAGTGTCTGCAATGGAAGACACTGTCATGCAGATTCGGGTGTCATCTGCAAAGGAAGACACGGTGCTGTGGCTGACATCCTTGTCTGTGTCGGATATGAGGATGAGAAACAAGATGGGAGCGAGTACTGTGCCTTGTGGAACAGAGCTTTTCACCGTAGCTGCCTCAGACTACTCTGTTGACTACTATTCTCTGTGTTCTGTTAGTGAGGAAATTATAGATCCATCTACCAACTTTTCCTGTTATTCCTTTAGCACGCATTTTGTGAGCTATTACGCCATGGTCACACTTGTCGAAGGCTTTTGCAAAGTCTGTATATATTACATCTGCATTCTTTTTGTCTTCTAGTGCATTTAGGACCTTGTCGTAGTGATCCAATAGTTGAGACAGACAGGAGCGACCTGTTCTAAACCCATGTTGCCCTGGGTTGTGTAACTGATGGGTTTCTAGATGGGTGGTGATCTTGCTTCTTAGGACCCTTTCAAAGATTTTTATGATATGGGATGTTAGTGCTATCGGTCTGTAGTTCTTTGCTGTTGCTTTACTGCCCCCTTTGTGGAGTGGGGCTATGTCTGTTGTTTTTAGTAACTGAGGGACGACCCGCAGTGTACATATTAGCTTAGTCATTATTTACACATTTCATTTTTCATTTCTTTGCTTCATGTAGGATTAATTTCATGTTTAAGTATTTTATATTCTTTATTAATTTTACTTGTTAATAAAGCTGTTTATCCCATAGGGAGGAACCAGCTTTATTAAAACCTCTTTGAGGGTCTAATAAGGTTATTGAATCTTCACACCAACCAAATGTGGACTTAATTGTTTAGTAAAGTCGCCATAAAAAAGTTGCCGTAAAAAAGCGATTTCGCAATATTTCACTTTACTTTCCTCACTTTTATTCTATTTAAAAATTTTTGCAATCCTATCATGCAATGGCTGCCTTTATTATGACTTAACAATGGCTGAAGGTCATGAGGCGCCTGATAGCAATGAGAAATATCTACTGACCTTGATACTTGCTCCAAGTACCGGGTTTCCAGAACGTTTTTGCCAGGGAAACTGATCTTCTAAATTCCTAACTGATGTTCTACTGTCCACTAACTCCTGCACTAATTATTTCCCGACAATGACTGAAGAACATGATTGGTATTACTGAGACATCCGGGTTAATAATCACTCTCATTTTATATATTACAAGAACCAAATTCTAATATATACCTGTAATATATAATTTACTGCTAATAGTTAATTATTGAATACCACTGAAGGCTGTCATGGTGCACTAACCTGGTGATTTATAAGTAAATGTTGATGAAGGCGACAGCGACGTAGAGAGCAGTAATGGCTGCTGCTGCTGCTGCT